AGGTAAGCGCGGGAGCCCGCGGGCCGGGGAGGGGCCGCGGCGCCGGGACCCCCGCGACCCCGGGGCAGGACCCGGGGCGAGGGGGGTCGCGCGGGGACCCGCTGCCGCGCCGCGAGGTGCCCGAGAGTCACACGCATAGGCCGGGGGAAAAGTGCTGGTCCAGCAGGAGACGCGGGGAGGCTGCGGACTTGGCGGCCGCGGTCCCCGCGCGACCCCGGCCCGGCCGCCCCTCCCCCGCCGTCCGCCCGCGCGGCGCCCCGCGACGCTGCCTCCCGCTGCGCGCGCCGGGGTGGGGGGTGCGGGGTGATGCTGGAGGGGGGGTAGGGGGTTTCCCACAGGGAGGGGGGCGGAGGAGGGGCGGCCCCGCGGCCCCGCGGCCCGGGCACCGCCGCGTCCGCTCCCGGTTGCAGGCGCCCGCGAGCCGGATGCGGTGCGTGGACGAAAGATGCATCATGGAATGAACCCGAGCCCGGGGGACGGATTTCTGCAGCAGCAGCAACCCCCGCCGCCGCAGCCGCCGCCCCCCCGCAGGCTGCTGGCCGCCGTCCTGGGGATCCAGCTGGCGCTGTGCTTCGGCCCCGCACAGCTCACGGGCGGTGAGTGACCGCAGGGACCGCGCCGCGGGGGAGGGCGCGGGTCTGAGCCCACCCTCCGCCGGGAGCCCCGGAAGTCCCCCGATGCCTGAGTGCGGCGCGCCCGGGGCGCACACACCGTCGCATGGTGCCTGGAGCTGCCCAGCGGCCGCGCAGCCTGGCTCCTCCGAAGGGGGCACAGTGAGCCGATCTATTCGTCTCACTTGGGCCACCGGGGAGCCAGAGAGGGGGAGAGGGCGTTTCTGTGCTGAGCGCGCGTTTGGGGGCCTTGCGCCGCGTCTGTGCCCTCAGCGGAGAGAGGCCAGGTCTCAGGTGTCAGAGGCCGGGGCAAGTTGCCAGGACCCCCCCCCCCACCTTGTGAGTGTGAAGGGTCTGAGGACCCGGCCAGGCTGGCGGAGGGACTGTCTGTCGGGAAGTTAACTTTCTCGTTTCTTGGGAGGTGGTGAGTTCCCGCGCCCCTGCATGTGTTGGGGGGGCGCAGAGGGGTTCCTGCAGCGGGGCGGGGCGGGGCCGCGGAGGGGTTCCTGCAAGGGGGGGCGAGGGCGCGGAGGGGTTCCCGCAGCGGGGGGCGGGGGCGCGGAGGGGGTCTCCTCAGGGGCGCTTCTGGAGGATGGCTTTGCTTCTCCATGTCTGATTTACAGGAGAATACAGTCAAGGGCGTGTGTGAGGGGGAAGCTGGCTGAAATAAAATTGATAGCCTTGGTCCCCACCAGAGGCTGATCCTCCGCGTGTTGGGTTCTGGGGGAGGGGGCTCTGTCGGCCTCAGGCCACGGTGGAGGAGGACGGATGGAGTCCCCGGGAGCATTTGGGAGCACACTGGTGTCCGTTCCTGATTTCTGGGAGAGCTTGCTCATGTGGACCTGGGAAAGGGCAGACTCACATTTCCAAGCTGAACTACTGTTCATATATAAATAAATGACAATTGGTGGAAAAGCAGATATCGATTGCTATCAATAAACCATTTCCTGTTTAAAATATTGCTGTTTCAGAGAGTGGAGGTGAACAAGGAGAGACGTGAGTGGCAAACTAGTAAACGTGGAGGAGGAAAAGCAGAGCAATCCAGAACTCGGGCGTTGTGTGGAGAGATCTGGATGTCTGGAGCATAAGGGAGCTTTCTGGGTGTGCACTTCTCAAAATTAGTGAGAGGACATTTGCTTCGCCTTAGGGACCCGGTTTTGGCTTTATTTGGTTTTCTAACAAGGAGTGACTTTTTGGGTGTTCGTAGTTCTGGAGAAACGTCTCTGAGGTGGGTGTCCTCTTCCCAGAGGTCGAGGGCAAATGGGAGGCGAGGCCAGCCGCTGTGCGGCCTGCAGGGCTCTGGTTGGAGCCTCTGTGCTGCTCCGAATTAGTTCTGCTTCTAGGGTGTGTGGGCACAGGTGGGCAGGAAAGCACGAGTCGGGGTGGGCCTCTCCCTTCCTTCTTCACTTCCCCCGATTCTAGCTTCGATCCCTCCAATGCGGTCGATGCCACCCTTCCATCCCCCCGGTCCATTTCTCCCATGTAGATGATGCACTGTCAGGGTTCATCTGTGTAGCTCTTGACCAGTTACTGGACGTTGAGCTTCTCAAGCTGGGCTGTGCTCCTGGGTCTGCTGTTCATGTTCACAGAGATTCTCCTGAAGGATCTCAGAGCTCAGTGCACCGCCCGGCCCCCTCGGGCTCACGTTAGTTCCTTTACCCCCGTCTTCCGAGGGAGAAGACGTCAGGCACCAACATCCAGGCCTTGAAGGAGAAGCAGGGAGGAAGGGGTTGCCTGTCAGCCCTCAGTTCAGAGCTGTTCCTTCTCAGGCACTCACATGCCACAGAAAGGCTAGCCACCACCTCTGTTTCACATTGAACTCCTTCAGGCTGCGAGGGTGATTCCTGGGAGAGTATTTATCATTTCACGCTTCCTCTGTGGATAAACAGCTTGGGTGGAGAGGGTGGTGGGGGTGTTCTGTGGAGTACACTTTACGGAGACTTCTTTCTCACGGCAGAAACTCATGTGGAGGCTCCTGGATGGTAATAAAAGCAAGTCCCTTAATTCTAGACCTGTGCTTCTAAGACTTTGACGTGCATTCTGTCACCTGGGATCTTACTGAAAGGCAGGTTCTGGTTCAGTTGGTTTGGGGTGGGGGGTGGGGCGGAAGATTCCACATTTCCAACAAGCTCCCGGGTGATGTGTGGCTAATGGTTCAAGACTATGCTGATGAGCAGTGCTAAGACTGAGGCGTCCTTAAACATATTGTTTCTGACCCTAGAATCACTCCTGGTTACCAAATGCAAGGGCCTGGGCGGGGGCGGGGGAAAGCAGAGGCCTCCTAATCTTCCCGTGAGGCACAGAGCTGAAAACCAGCCCTCCCAGAGTGCTTTCCTTTTTTTTTTTTTTTTTGGTTTTGTTCACAAAAAAGATGTATGTTTAATAGATACTGTTTTAAATTGTGGATTTTCATTTTTGATTGCTTTCACTGGAAAAAGAAACAGCACAATAGTAAGATATTATAGTCTGAGCTAGGAGGAAAAAACAGGTGTCCAGTGCGTGCATGTATTACAGAAAAAGCCCAAGCCAGAAAGGGAGAAATTGAGAAGACGATCAGACTAAGAGGGGAAAGAACTCTGTCAAAAAGCAGATGCTTTGTCCTCGAAAGGCAGACTCACTTCAATTCTCCGAGTCCTAGGAGAGAATCCGTGAGCCTGAGTTTGCCTGAGGTGACTTTTGGGTGGCTCTTTCCAGGTTGTCTTTTGTGGGTTAGGGAAGAGGGCCCTCATCTGGGGCCACTAAGACCAAATACCCTTAGAGGACTAACAGCAGGCTTACAGGGAGACACAGGACCCGCTGTCCCCAGGGTCTGCATGGAGGGTGGTTTCAGCTGCTTCTCTCCCTCCAGAGACCTACGGGGTGTTTACCTGCAGGGCTCAGAGCTTGCTCTGTAAGTCGGTCCCTGAACGCAGATTCATTAGCACATCCCTGCGTTGTGAGGAATGTAGGCTAGGCTCTGCGACTCCATAGCTTTGGGGCCTTGGACTTTGGAAGCCTAGCATCTTCATCTGTAAACCCGGGGATGGTGCTGCCTTACTTCAGAGGTTGGTGTGTGGACGGAAACTGTGTAGGTACGCAGTAAGTGCAGGTGGATGGCGCCGGAATCTTCCAGGCCTTTGCTTTATTCATTCAGGAAATTTTTTTTTTTAAAGATTTTTATTTATTTATTTGAGAGAGAGAATGGTAGAGAGAGAGCATGAGAGGGAAGAAGGTCAGAGGGAGAGGCAGACTCCCTGCTGAGCAGGGAGCCCGATGCGGGACTCGATCCTGGGACTCCAGGACCATGACCTGAGCCGAAGGCAGTCGCTTAACCAACTGAGCCACCCAGGCGCCCTCATTCAGGAAATATTGAGTGCCCGCCTATACCCTGTGCCAAGCACTGTGGTGTACAATGTTCTTTTACCTAGAACAACCCTCTCTTACTCCCTATTTTTTTGCCCAATGAACAAGTTTCACTTCAAAACAACTTCAAGTGCCATAATCTCTTTCATATTTCCCTGGCCACTGGGCTCTCCCTTCACCTGGGCTCTCATTGCACTAAGTATAACCCTCCCTCATGGATCAGTCTCACCCGCTGGACCGTAAGCCCACTGAAGGCAAGAAGCCGGACTTTATTCACCTCTGTGTTTCAGGTGCTCAGCACAGCATGTGACACACAGGAGATGCTCAGCTGATGTTGATTGACAGCAGAAAGGGGTCCCAAATTATTGCCACACTGTTTAGAAAATAATGACCATGGGTGGTCACAAAGGAGCCAGTTTCATGGCTATTGAGGCCACGTCTGTTTGGAGGTGGTCTAGGAGGTTGGAGGAGAAATCAGGAAAGGCGCTAGAGCAGAGGTGACCCTTAGGCTGAGGTCTGAGGGAGGGATGGTTGGAGGGCTGCAAGGGGAGAGACACCTTGTGCAAAAGTGTGGGGGTGCTCATGTGCTTGCCTGTTCAGGGAGAGTCAGGCTGATCTAGAACAGCAGACCTGCGGGGAGCCAAGAGAGCGGGGCTGATCTAGAACAGCAGACCTGCAGGGAGCCAGGAGGGTGAGGCTGATCTAGAACAGCAGACCTGCAGGGAGCCAGGAGAGCAGGGCTGATCTAGAACAG